CAATCACTGATATACTTCCAGTCACTAAAGATTAGTTTGCATCTCTTAGACTTTTATGTAAATGGAATTCTACAGTGTGGACTCTTCCTGGCTTCACTCAGTATAACTGAGATTCACTGAAGTTGTTGCATTAGGACAGTATTCAATTGTATGGACATACTACGATTTATCTATTCACCTACTGATGGACGTTGGGTTGTTTCCAGTTTTTGGACTATTACAAATAAAGCTGCTATCAACATTTATGTACAGGTCTTCAGATAGACACAGGCTTTTGTTTCTCTTGGGTAAATACCTAGCAGAGGAATGGCTGGGTTATGTGGCAGGTTTTCAGAACCTACCCAATTGTTTTCCAAAGCGGTTGTATTATTTTACGTTCCCATTAGCAGGGTAAGTTCCAGTTGTCCCACATCCTTTCCAACACTTGGTATGGTCAGTCTTTCTCATTTCAGACATTCTGATAATTGTGTTATAGTATCTGATTGTATTTTTGTTTTTTAAATTTTATTTGAGAGAAAGAGGGAGAGAGCACAAGTGGGGGGGGGAGCAGCAGAGAGAGAGGGAGAAGCATGCTCCCCACTAAGCAGGGAGCCTGATTTTGGAGGGCTTGATCCCAGAACCCCAGGATCATGACCTGAGCTGAAGGCAGACACTTAACCTACCGAGCCACCCAGGCTCTCTCACTGTGTTTCTAATTTGTGTTTTCTTAATGGCTAATAACACTGCTCACCTTTCACGTTCTTATTTTTTCTTTGTACACCTTCGGTGAAACGTGTTCAAATCTTTTACTACTTAACCTCAGAAGTGACACCCTGTCACTTTCACCATTTGTATTACTTTTTACCATGTTCTATTTGTTAGAAGTCCGTAAGTCCATTCCACATTTAATGGGAAGGGATTACAATAGGGCAGGACCATTGGGAGCCCATCCTAGAGGCTGCCTACAACAGATGGCTTCCCATTTCTCTCGGAGCAAAATTCAAACTCCGTATCCTGGTCTAAGCCCTGCAAGATCTAGCCCTGGCCTTTTGTTTGTCTGTTATTTGGACATGCTGAACTCCCTGTCCTTTTAGTACGTTAGCATTTGTTCTTCCCTCTACTTGGGATGCTTTCCTGTCAGACTTTCCCATGGCTAATTCTTATCATTCAGGTCTCAGCTTTATAAGCTTTATAATTGCCTTCTCAGAAAAACCAACCTCAGCCACCCCTCAATCACCTCAATCAAGGTAGCCTCCCAATCACTCCTTAACACTCCAGCTGTATTAATTCTCTTCGTGACACTTAGTACCATCTAATAGAATGTAAGTTTCAGCGTGGCAGGCTTCTCTGTCTCACTCACCATTATATCTCCAAAGTCTTGAATAGTGTCATACACACGATAATTATTTGTTGAATGAACAAATGAATGAGATCTCGAAGGAGGCAAAAGAGATGGGATGCAGATCACAGCTGGAGGAATTAATCTTGATTAATGCTCCTGTTACTACTGCTATTCAACAAACCACCCTAACCTTAAAGGTATAAAACCACCACCCCATTTTATTATGCTCCCGAATTCCGTAGGTCAAGGCCTCAATTTGGGAGCCTAGAAGGCTGTTCCAGTCGGGGGCTGGAATCATTCAAAGGTTTGTTCACTCACATATCTTGGGGTTAATGAGAAGTTTTGGCCGAATCCCCAGTTTAGGCTGACAAAACACCAAACACCCACACAAACTCAGGTTTCTGCATAGCTGGCTTGCTGGCTGGGTTCCAACAGTAAGTACCCCAAGAAAATTAGGCAGAAGTTGCATCACCTTTTACTACGAAGACTGTAAAAATCACTTTTGCTCTAGTCATAGTCTAGTCTCCATTTCTTGAGAGGAGAGTTAAATTCACATAGTAAGAAGAACATGTGGGATGGGAAATAGTTTTGCTGCCATTCTTGTGGACCCCAGGCATACTATGGCCAGTTTTGTGGCCTGACAACCAGTGGGAGAAAACAGAGAAGAGCAGCCCGGAGATTCTGATCAATGCTACCAATTTTACAACTGATTTCTAATTTTTATCTTCAACTCTAAGGACAAATGGAAATCTTTCCCAGGTTTTTTTGGTTTTGTCCTTTTTTGAGAGAGCACACGAGCATGCAAATGGGGGTGGGGTGGGGAAAGGACTAGAGGGAGAGGGAGAGAGAATCTTAAGCAGGCTCCACACTCCTCCCCTCCCCCCAACCGCCCCAGCACAGAGCCCCATGTGGGGCTTGAGCACAGGACCCTGAGATCATGATCTGAGCTGAAATCAAAAAGTCCGGTGTTTAACCAACTGAGCCACCCAGGCGCCCCCTGTTTTTGTCCTTTTAAACTGCATTCAAACGACACCTTTAACAGCTTGGTGGCAATGGGATGGCTAAGTCATCTTGGCAGCACTTCACATGAAACTGTCCTCTCCTTTAATTCTTCATTTTGAATTTTTCTTGCAAACAGTCAAATTCATTAGCTTATTCTGAGGATAATTAATATTCTTGAGATTAGTCCAAGTGCCACTGGAAAAGTGATTTACACTTTTTTAAAGGACACTGAAACCCCCAAACAAACAAAAACTAAAAATGCTTGTCCAGATTCAATTTTTAACAGATGGGCTCTTGATATGCAATTGGAATTCTCCAGCAGAGATTAGCTGCCTGTGGTTTGTGGGCTACGCTTCTTTTCAAGTATTTGCCTGGTTCTGGCTGGAGACAGTTAAAACCTATGGCACTATTTCTGTTAAATTTCTCCATTTTACATCATTTCCCCCCAGACACTGCCGTTAAAATCTGTGTGCTAACACTTATCATTCCTTTGTTTGATGGATTATAAAAGAATACTTTGCCTCCTTTCATTCTGAAGTGCAAATAGCCGGGTTTTAAGGTGATGTTTCCTCACTTGCCAAACCTCTTGGTTAGTGACAAAGCTAGTCAGTTTGTGTATGGGTGTTGTTAAAAATTCAGATTTGTATGAGGACACCTTGAAGTCCTAAGTTATGTTGTATAAAAGATTCTATCCCACACCACTGAAAATATCTTCACAATCACTATGGTTGATACTTACATAAAACCCTTAAGATTTGTATATACAAAAGGGACATTTCATTAAGAGGAAGAGGAACATGAGAGAAAGGCTGTGAGAAAAATTGAGAGGGAGATTCCATCAACTAATACCTGCTGTATGCATTTGGAGACAGAAAAGTACAAACATAACTCCCTAACAGAATTCCCTGACTTCCCAACTTTGTTAGAAAGGAAAAAGAAATCACCATGCATGACAATTGGAGAAGCATAATATGCTTCATATACTGAGGTTTGAGCTCTAAAAGGTATAGTTATGCTCAAAAGAGCGAGCAACTGGGGTTGGAATTTAGATTTATAATGGGCTAAGGGAAAAGGGAGAAAGGGAGAAAGGGAGAAAGGACATAGCTTTCCACAAAAGGAAAACAGTAGGGGGCAAAATTCTGAGTCCTGAGAGAAAGGCATCCTTGCCTCAAGGACACCTGTGGCCCAGGACCAGAAGAAGGGGTTCACTACTGTGGGGTGAATAAAGGCTTCCAGCTGTCGCCCAGGAACAGGATGAGGGAGGCTTTGGGGGAGCTTGCCAGACTCCCTGACTCAAAGGCCTTACTAAAGTAGCTCTTATTTAGCTGGCTGGAGCCCGTTCTTGACGTCTTTGAAAGCAGGGCTTACACTGAGAATTTTGATACTTTAATCTGATCAGAATGGACTAGATTGGGAGGATACAGAAATGGCTTCACCTGGAGTAGTTTCAGATTTTATCTAGACCTTCTGTCTGACTGGGAGGGAACTGCTGTTTATTATAGCACTCTACATAGGATTGAGAAAATTAAAATTTTCTGTATCAAAGAATGGGGAGGTGGTGTTGGTCATGGGGGTGTCCAAACCTCCCAATTGATATCTGTTGTGACTCTTGTATGCTTCCTATTCTTTCCTTTGGGACACAGCTCTGGCAGCTGAACTGTAAAGAGAAGGTAAGAGCTGTTCGGGATGCTTAAGACACTGCTGTACTGCTCTTAACAGCCTGAAAAAAAAACCTTTTCAACAATTTTAAACATTTGGAATAGGCATAAAGCGAAGAATGAGATTTTCAAATTGGTGTGGTAGAAAAAGTAGCTGGGCGTTTGAGTGAAATCTGGCGCTATCACTAAGTTTTGTGCCCTGGGAATACTTAATTGATTTTGCGCCTCTGTTTTTCTACAGGCAAAATAGGAAATGATGAAGGAGAGGTTCTCAGCTGGCTTGTCCAGCACCTCCCACCATCATCTCTTGCGGGCCTTTGGAAATGTGTGTGGACTGGCAGGCCGGGGGGGGGGGGGGGGGTAAAGGCGTTCTGGATTGTTCCGAGTTGGGAGTGCTATAGAACTAGCGGGCGCAAGCCAGACACCAAATGTCTTGCAATGCCTGAGGCAGTGCCACAAATGAAGAAAAGTCCTGCTCCAAATGCCACAGAGTCCCACTAAGAAATGCTGACAGTCCCTAAGGATCCCTCCAACTCTGAGGACTTCATTAAGCCTTGGGCTACAAGGCAGCACCACAGACCAAGGCCTCTCGAGCCCCGTCCGGCACATTCTCCCAACTTCACCAATGGCTAACCAACTCATCACTCAGGTTCGACCTACGGTTCACTTCTCAGAGGCACTTGCCCTGGTGCCCATACCGATCTTACTATTATACTGTTTCATCATTACCTGATTAATGTCTGCCTCCCTCCACCCCTCGGTAAACTCCATAACGGCAGGAGTCGCGGATATTTGTCGGGGTCACAGTGGCGCTAGCAAACACTTTCTGAATAAACCTGAAGAGCTGACGAACCGACAGAAGATACTCGGCATCAAACGCGCGCCCAGTCGCTGCCGGACGCCCCGGCCCGTAACTTCCGCCCCTTCCCTCTCCTCCCGGCGCTCCCTTCTCCTTGCCGGTGTTTGTTTCCGGTGTTTGAATAAAGCTCGATTCGGCTCGAAGAAGACCTGTTCTTCCGGGAAAATGGCGACTCCCGCTCGTGTCTCGGAGTCCACGCCGGCAGCGGATCCGGCGCTAGCAGCGGGGGCTGCCGAGGAAGCCGAGTGCCCGCCCCCTCGCCAGCCTCAGCCCCCGCAGAATGTCCTCGCTGGCCCGCGGCTTCGAGCCCCAAGTTCCCGAGGACTTGGGGCGGCGGAGTTTGGCGGAGCTGCGGGAGATGTTGAAGCGCCAGGAGAGACTTTTGCGCAACGAGTAAGCTTGGGTCCCTCCGAGTCACCGCCAGGCTTCTTCGGTTCGGTCTCCCTGGGACGCGTTCCTTCCCCTCCCAACGTCGGGTTCCCTTCCCTGGAAGGTGCCCTTGCCTCAGTCAGATCGGTTCCAGTCCCGCAGGCGAGTGGACGGCCTCCAGCCGCAAAGCGAACCGCGCGTCTTGGTTTGGCACGTACCGCGGGTGGGGATGGCTTTAGCGTGCTGAAAGGCTGCTTAAGAGTTTCAGCTGTTCCCTTAGCTCCTTGTTGTTTTTAATTACCCGGCTACTGTGACGGTTCCCTAAAGGGAGGGTCTGTGTCCTAAATCCCTGTGTACCCCCGCCCCCCTTGCCGCCCATGCTGTGCCCAAAACATCTTGTCAATTTCATCTCTAGATCCTGTTTTTACGGGACCTGTAAGAAAGGGAAAGAATGGGACATAGAGTGCTATATTAGACAGAAAAAGTTTGTCTCATTCAGCTGGCAGACTTAACGACTCTAGCAGGGGAACAATATAATGAAAGTGAAAGCTTAATTTAGCAGCGTGGAAGGAATGAGAGACAGAAGACAGCTGGAGGATATTTTCAGAGAAGTTCCCAGCAAGGGGGTTGTAGAAGGGTAGTTGTGGGACTGGGAAAACTACATCGGTGATGGGATAATTTGGGTATGTAGTTGAAGGAGATGGCTGAAGTTTCCAGCTTGCATAGAGAACCACTAATAACAGAAAAATTGGGGAATAGCTCTGAGGTTGATTTTACTTAGGGAGGGGATGCTAGGTTGAGGGAAGAGTTAATTATATGTACTTAAAAGCTGGAGAATGTCATGAGGATCCGGAGAGAAAAGGCTGAGAACATACAGGAATCTCAACTGGAGAGGGATGTTAATGTTGAAATTGTGGAAGTAATGTAAGTGTGAAAGAAAGAATAGAGCCAGAGGTGTAATCTTCCCTCCATTTCTTATATGGATAAAGAAAAGAGAATCTGAAAAGGAACTTAAGTCATTCAGCAAAAGGGACAAATGACCATTTGGGAGCTTTCTAGTAGGGACAAGTACTTTGACTTTGTGAGAATGGGTTTTTAATCTATAGCAGCAAATTGACTTTTTGGTCTCAGGACCCCTTTATACTGTTAAGACTTACTGAGCATCCCAAGGAGCTCTTGTTTTATGTATGTTAAATCTGCTGCTGTTTATTGGTGTGTTAGGAATTACAGGTGAGAGGGGCACCTGGGTGGCACAGTAGATTAAGAGTTCCACTCTGGTTTCCACTAAGATCATGATCTCAGGGTCATGAGATGGAGCCCCCAAGTTGGGCTCCACGCTCAGCATGGAGTCTGCTTGGGATTCTCTCTCCCTCTGCCTCTCCTGCTTATGCTCTCCATCTCTCTCTCTCTCTCTCTCTCAAAATAAATAAATCTTAAAAAAAAAAAAAGGAGGGCGCCTGGGTGGCTCAGATGGTTAAGCATCTGCCTTCGGCTCAGGTCATGATCCCAGGGTCCTGGGATCGAGTCCCGCATCGGGCTCCCTGCTAGGCGGGGAGCCTGCTTCTCTCTCTGCCTCTGCCTCTCTCTCTCTCTCTCTCTCTCTCTCTGACTCTTATGAATAAATAAATAAAACATTTAAAAAAAAAAAGGGAATTACAGGTGAGAGAGTTTTAAAACACAAGAATACACAATGATTAGCCATCAGAGCAATGATATATCATGTGGCCTCTGGAAAACTCCGCTGTACCCATATAAGAAAATGAACGTGGAAATGACAAATAATGGCTTAGTATTATTATGAAAATAGTTTTGACCTTGCAGACCCAGCCACCTCCCCTCCCCAGGAAGGTCTTGGACATCACACTTTAAAAACGAGTTTTGGGGCGCCTGGGTCGCTCAGTCGTTTGGGTGTCTGCCTTTGGCTCGGGTCATGATCCCGGGGTCCTGGGATCAAGTCCCACATTGGGCTCCCTGTTCAGCGGGAAGCCTGCTTCTCCCTCTCCCCCCTGCTTGTGTTCCTGCTCTCGCTATCTCCCTGTCAAATAAATAAATCAAATTAAAAAAAAAAAAACTGCAAGTTTTGGAGTATATTCTAGAGTATTATATGCTTAAGATACTTTTTGCTGAAATTCTAATTAGACACATAAGGGATATTCCTTATTCCTGCCTCCCCTTGGTTTTTTAGGGTATTTAGATAATGACTGTTACTTCATTCCTGCCTTGAGGCAGTTCGAAATCAGATTTTTGACTTAAAAGATAGATTTTTCTCCCTTTGAGGATAATGCTTGGTCTTTATATCTCAAGGCTTAAAAACATAGCTCTAACAGATACATGTTTCCCCCCCCCCCCATGTAACAGAAAATTCATTTGCAGATTGCCCGACAAAGGTAAAAAGATCTCGGGCTCTGTTGCCAGACTGAAAGCTGCCATCACAGAGTGTGAAGAAGTTAGAGGACCATTTCATCCTGTTCGTTTGGACTGTAAGCCGAGGCAAAGAGCCGTTGCAGTGGTTGACGTGGACACAGGAAAGGCCCCGAATTCTGACCAGATACTTGATACTGCATCACTAGTTTGTGGCTCTTCCTCCGTACGTAGCATCAAGGCACCTAAGACCACGTCACAACAGCGCGGACTTGTACGGCCTCCTCCGGAAGGCGATGAAGACGCTCCGGAGGTTGAGTACACCGTAAGCGTGCACCCAGCTTCCAGCAGCAGAGCCAGTGCACCTTCCTCCTCCGAAGCTGGTGCGCGTCTCCCTCGGCATCAGGTTTCAAGGCAAGCAGAAGACAATTCGAGCGGCTCCGACGACCTGTTTCTTGATAGGTTACGAAGGATCACAGTTGTGGACTCAGGTGAAGAGCACTCGGAAGAGGACAGGAGTGCTGAGAACGTGGCAAGGCTTGGGAGTGGGGCCCAGAAGAAGCCTCATTTCATGGAAGTGCTAGAAATTCGAGCCAAAAACCCAGTGCCCCCATCACATAAATTTAAAACGAATGTGTAAGTACTATCAGAAACGGGCCTGTCATGGGAACATACCACCTGTTAAACTCAAAAAATTGGAAGAATGCTTTCAGATCAGTGGACCTTGTGTGGGACCTACTTGTAGTTAGCAAAGAGCATATTGTGGAAACAGCCTGGCTGGATTGGAGGATTCATGTTGACAAATACTTTAGGTCTTTAGCCAAATAATTGAACAGGTTTCAAATAGCAGGTGGAGTATTAAATTTCAGGGTGCTTAGCCAACATTTGATATTAAACCCAGAGTTAGAGAATTTATTATGACTATTCCACAACAATTTTTTGGTATGCAGCTCCCCCTTTGATTAGACTATAAGCTAAAGGAAAAGCAGCTTTAGAAGCTGATGGACTTGTCAGCGAAGAATATTTGTGTGCTCACTATAGGTAAGCAGCAGGTGCTGGGGTGACACAGAAGTAAAGATCCTGCTCCTCAGAGAGTTCAGGATCTAGATGAAAACCCAAGGCCTACACACTTGGAAGAACATTGAACTGTGTCATAACAACTTGAGGGGGAAGAGCTGAGAAGGGCTTAAAGAAACTGAAAAACAGATCGAGGCAGGAGGTGTAAACTAACCTTGCTTCTGAGTTCCTTGTCATAGTTTTGTTTCTGAGATCTCCAAAAAAAGAAAAGCTCTTTGAAGAGAAAAGAATTTTCTTTACTTGTACGCAGATGTAACGTTCACAGCAGGGAGTAGCCAGTGTATTTAACCTACCTGTTTGCATTTACCAGGAGGCAACATCATATACAAAGTTGAGTCACTACTGCCCTTCTTTGAAAAGCTGAGAACCTCTAGTTAGAAATGCCTAAAATTTTCAGAGAATTATTTTAAAGTTTAAAACTTTAAAGTTTAACCCTGCCATTTTTTTTAACTTGAAAACATTTTATTTCTTTTCTATAGAAAAACCAGGATTATATTACATTAATTTTTAGGTAGTAATAAAAAGTAATCTTTGTACTCTTGATGTACGAAGTGAGTAATCTCTCCATCTTGTGTGCAGTGAGGTGTATTTCCTCACTTCCAGGAAGACAGAAAACCAGAAGCATCATCCAGTCAGTCAGAGGATACACTGATCCTGGTCTTTTACTGTGGTCATTTAGCTGGAAGTAGCAGTGGGGAGAGCCAGATCCTCCTGTGCAGTTAGAGCAGATTGGGAAAGGCTGGGCCTGGATGAGTGTGGACTGAGGGATTCTATGCATGAGCAGCCTTTGACTCCTTTTCTGCTCTTCCTTTAGCCTCCTCCATGCCCTTCTGGCTCGTATACTACCTGGGTGCCAGTGGCTGCCCCTCACCTCCCTCTAGCTTAGGTCTTTCCAGAACTTTGGATTTGCATGGCCAGTTACATATGAAACCTGGCCATGTGGGTGTTCTGTGGCACCTCAGATTTGTCGTGTACAGCATAGAACTCTATTTCTTCCCATGCTGACTTTCTCCCATATTCCCTAAATTCATGGTGCCACCACTTTATTTTTCTCTCCAAGGTGTCTTGTGCTTCATCTCCTTATCTGCTGGCTGTAAAGACCGACATAATATATTTTGTTGACTTTCATCTCTAATTCTTGTTTTCATCCTCTGTCAAAAGTGAAGGCTCTCATCCCTCTCTTGGGCTATAATGCCTGTTCTGGACTCTAGTCTTAACTCCTCCAGCCCATCTGCTCCACTGCTGCTAGAGTGAAATTCGTACGATGCAAATCTGAACCCATTGCATAGAACTCTTCCCTGAGGACTGGGCCCGGTCTACTTGCCAGCCTTGTCTCGCGGCCTTTCCTCTACACCCCACCCCCTGAACTTCCTTTGTGCTGTACCACGTTGCCCCTCACTCCCTGCTGGGATGCCCTCCTCCCCTCATTTACGTGGTGAGCATTTATCATTCCAAGACTCCTCAAAATTCACTCTTAAAGCTTTTCTGACAACCTCCCTGTCTCCCATTAGAACCAGTGGTTTCCTTCTTTATGTTCCAGTGTACCAGTATGTATAGTACGTATACCACCTCTATGTAGTGTCACACGGGCGGGATTATGTTGCACGGAAACTGTTCACAAGTTTATTTCCCTTTACTGGGCAGCAAGCCCCTTCGTGCATGTTCTTTGAATGGAAAGATGGCTTCAGTTCAAGTGTAAGGTTGGAAGACTGAAGGATAATGCAAAGAGCCCATCAGTCTACCTATTTGTTAAAAACGGTGGATTGTCCTATTACTCTCCACAAAGGTGCCGGTTTAAATACTCCCCATATCTGAAGTAAATATGTTTAAAAACAGGAAATATCTATGAATAGAAATATTGGTAAACTCGCTATTATCTTTGTAGAAGAATTAACTGCTGAGGTTAAAGTCCGCTTGTGTGTGGGAATGTTGTAAATGTGTCTATAAAAAGAAACAGTCTGATGATACAACAGATTTTTCCCTCCTTCAGATTACCTTCACAGCAAAATGATTCATCTGGTCATTGGCAGAGAGGAGGGTCTCCCGTCTCCTCAGAAGAAAGGCGGCTCAGGGATAAGAAGCATCTTGATGACATTACAGCAGCCCGGCTTCTGCCGCTTCACCATATGCCCACACAGCTGCTCTCCATAGAAGAATCGTTGGCACTTCAGAAACAGCAGAAACAGAGTTATGAGGTATTTAGAGTTTTAAATGTTTCTTGTCTCTGTTAGATGCTGCTAAGTCAGAATTTACTCCAGGAAGTTCAAAGAGGACGGGACTTAATAGAAGGGTGCTCAAGAAATGGTCAGCTCATGCCATTCACTCTCAGATGTGAGCCTCTAGTTTTCTGAGAGTCTTGAAGTTGCTGGATCCGCAGGACCCAGCTGGCGATGATCATAGCTACGTGCAATGGCAGAATGGTTTTTGCCAGGAAATGTGGGGAGACCACTGCACAATTCCCCAATCTCTTAAAGCCCATGCTGTCAGGCTAGTAGAAGCCTTGCTTCTCTCTCTTCCACCTTGTAAGCCCCATGCAAGACGTTCTCAGTGGTAGAGTCTAACCAAGAATCAGGGAAATGTTTCCAGGTTTCTGTCTCCTGCTGGACAGGGAAAAACATAACATTGGAGGAGAAGTGTAGTGTTAACCAACAGACATTTGGACACTGAGCTTAAAAGCACGATATGCAGGCCCTTGTGAAGACAGAAGAATCGCCTGCTTTTAGTGACTTAATTTTGTATATCACTTACTTCAAAGATCTGGGAGTTCTGCATAGAACCTTAAGTGTGTATGTGGACAGTTTGTGTACAGAATAATGAGATGGGAGAAAATAGGTGTGAAGACTGGAGGGAGAAAAAAGAAAGCATCCAATACACTTAGTAGTTTGAACCTCCCCAAAAATAGCAGCTTAACTTCCTAGTATTGCTTAGCTAGATTTTAATCAGGTACTAGACACTGGTCAAGACAGAACTAGGCTGTTATTCAGCCTTGGCACATGGATTGGCATTTTCAGGGCACTTTTTAAAAGCCATTTTTCTTCCCCATTGTCTAGTTATGACTACACCCTTGGGGAATTGGTTTTTAGATTGTTACATGATCTTAAGTGCCTGTCCTAAGATATCTCTAGGTTGAACTCAACTCCTTTGAAACCAGTTTCCTTGGCAGAGTGGTATTAGCTCCCACTTCATTCCTACCTACCCAGAATATTCATGGCCGGAGGGGAAGGACACAAAGAGGTTCCAGTTGTAGGGGGAAAAACATGAGAAAAGCGAAGAGCCAGATTAAAAATGGGCATTGCCACCTGCCATCAGTCAGTGGTCCTGTCCTTGGGTGTCTATGAGCACATTGCCAGTGTCTAAAATTTACTTGGACTTTCTGTCATGTAATTTTCATGGGAACTTAATTTGGAGAGGGATAGTTGGCTTTTTAAAAGTATTGGTTTCTTGATTTCATTGATGTTGAAATGTAACCCTCAAGCCTAAAAGCTGTGATTTCATCTAGGAAAGAAGATTCTTTTTTAGAGAATCAATACAGCATTAATGATTTTTGACATTTGATAGTTGAAACTGCTCTGTGAGTGTGTATGTACACATGCATGTATCCCCCATACTTAAAAATCCGTCCATGTTTATAACTGTCATGGCGCTCAGTGGGTTCCTCAGTTTCCCACAGAGAGGTGGGGTATTTCAGTGCACTGTTGTCTGTTAAAGGAAGTCTGACCATGACGGTGGCAGGCTAGTAGCCCTTACCAGCATTGTCCCCCCCCACCCCCCCAATCTGTGGTAGGCACAACCTCAGACTTGCACGCTGCTAGAGAGAGCACTGAGGGGAGCGGTGTGCCCTTTTATTTCTACTTCTCTTTAAATGACTTCTTACTGAAAAAGTGGTAGGGAAAAGAATGTGAATGTGTAACGTTTTGCTTTGATTTTTGTTTTAAAGGAGATGCAAGCCAAACTCGCAGCACAAAAATTAGCTGAAAGACTGAACATAAAGATGCAGAGCTATAATCCAGAAGGGGAGACTTCGAGGAAGTACCGAGAAGTGAGGGATGAAGGTGACGATCAGTCCTCTGGAGATGAATTCTGAAGATGGGCAGTGGAATCATCGCCTAAATCTCTGCCTGTTGAGTTGTCACGATCTTACATCAGACTTTGAAACAAGTATCAAGATCGGTGTCAGACATTGTCGAGGGAAGGAATTTTGTTTAAGTTACACAAAGGTAGCTATAAAAATAGCCCAGTTTGTCTTTCAGAAGATGACTTTCGTGTACTTAAGAAGTTTAATATTTGAATATTGTGTTTTAACCATATTGTATTAAAGTTTTGCAGTATGTTGTCTGTTGGTCTGATATTTTAGTACATAGTAAGCACAGTATTTTTTCCTCTAAGCCAAATGAAGCAGGTAACTGCTCTTTTCCTGATTCTTACCTCTTTGGAATAGCATTTATTACATTTACTACATGTCTTTCAGTGAAATATTTGGTTGCCCCAGGCATCACCTAAAATGAATTAGGAAGATAAATTTCCTTCCTTTTGCAAGTAATGGAGGGAGCAGTCTAGAGAATTTTATGCATGTTTGCATGGGGTTAATGAGGTGTATTGGATGTGAAATGCCTAGGAAGACACTTAATAGAGAATTCTGAAATGTTTGTTTCCTTCTTGTCTTCCCTTAGGAAGAATGTTATCTTCTGATTAGGAATAGGAGTACTTTTAGTTGGTGCTTGAGGGTGGATAGTCTTTCTGGATGATCACATTTGCCTGGAGTGACATGAGGTATAGGAAAAGTCTAGGGTGACTGTAGGTGAAGGGAGGAGCTCTTCTTAGGATTGACCTGACTTGAGTTCATTGCTCTAAGAGGTGACAGGTTCAGTTTGGTAAGAAAACCAACTTTTTTTTTTAAAGCTACAATTGAATTGTTAATGCATTGCCTTCCCCCCCTGCCCAAGAGGCATATATATAGGCTACAGAAATCTCAGTCTCGTATGTATACATGTTTATGTAATTTTAAAGGATTACATGGTTGTTATCAGAGATTCTTTGTTTAACATATTGGAGAATTTAAACAGTGTTGAAAGGAAGAATAAAAAATTAGAGCAACTTCACAATGTTAATGGTGATGTTTTACGGGTGTTTAACTTGCTTTAAAAGAGACTTTCATATATGACATTTTCCTGCAAACACACTTAGGAGTGCTAGGAAGGGCTCGGTTCTCTAGCATGGACTTCCAGGTACAGCTACGGCTTTCCGTCCCCCTCCCATCCCCTCCCCCCAGCACCCCTCCCCCCAGAAATGTAAAAATATACTGAGCTAACAAATTTATTATTTCTACTTTTAAAAACTAGTAGTAAATGGATTTCACAACATAAAATTATTCTTTAGAGAATAAAAGGATACACATCTGGAAAGCCAAGTAATGTGGAAGTGCTCCCATGCATGGACACACAGTCCCCTGTAGTCAGATCACCCAGAGAGTGCCTCTGTTAAGGTTCAGGTATATATACTTTACATACTCTTCTATACGTTTCTGTTTTCAATAATGCAATGATACTGTACATTGTTTCACAGTCTGCTCTATGTATGGTAAACATTTTCCCATAATATTTTGCCTTTGAGATAGCTACAGAATATTCAATTTTATGGGTGTGCCATAACTTTTAAAATCAGCTTATTATTTAACAATTTGATCATTACACTGTAAACTGTAAACAACGATGTGATTAACATCTTAAAAGATAATCACATTTGTACAAAAATGATTTCTTTCTAGAAGATACCTTTCTAGAAGTGAAATTGCTAGTTGGGAGTATAGGTAAGTTTTAGAGATTTTTGATCTACATCACTCACCACAAAGATTGTGCCCCTTTATATTCCTCCGAGCAATATCAAACTCCCAGAACTGAAAATTGCTATTTAAAGTGTTTGCAAACTGAATAATTACAGGAAAGGATGGTTTTTAAAATTTGTGTTTCTTTGATTGCTTAATGAAGAATATTTTTTCATGTTTATTGACGATTTATGTTCATTCTTTTGAGCATTGCTTATTCATATCTTCACTGTATTTTCTTGGAGAGTGTGCTGTTTTTATTGGTCTATAAATTCTTGATAATTAAGATGTCCAGCTTTTGTCCTATGTTCTTATTTTAGTGTGTTATTTTCTTTTTTAATACAGTTCGTGGTGTTTCGGTGTAGAAGTTTTCTTTAGGAGTCTACCTTTGCGGTTATGCCTGAGCATGCCTTCCCTAGCCCCAGGGTGGATATGCGTTCATCCTTATTTTCTTCTGGGACTTTTTAAAAATTTCGCTTTTATACTTATATTTAGTTCAAAAGGAAATTTTTAATGTATCTCAAGTTTATTTGGGGATGCTGCATAAGATGAGATTTAATTTTTGCAGGTAGTTGACCAATTGGTTCGATATTATAAACCACCATTTCCCCACTGATTTGTAATGCTGTCATTAATAGAATATTAAATTCCCACATATCTTGTGCTGTGGGCCTATTTCTGGGCCTTGTAGTTTTTCCTGCACTATTTTAATAATTGTGGATTTCATCAGCATTAATATTTAGTATACAATTTCTCCCTCATTCTTTGAGATTCTGTCAAATATAACCTCCAGAGAAGTACGCAAAACAGGTGTGCGGTCTAATAGGTAAAGCAAACAGCAGTGTAATCACAAACCAGATGCAGAAAAGCTACTGCCAGTGCTCTGGAATCTCTCCATGGCCCCTATGGATACCGTGTTTATCTACTATCTGAGCTAACTACTATCCTGACTCAGAGTAATACTCCACCCCGCCCCCGCTTTAAAAAAAAAAAAAAAAAAGGTCCTACCAGTTACGTATGCAATAATGCGGCTAGTTTGTTTTGCCTACTTTTGCCTTATAAAAATGGAATCCTACTGTATATGCGTTTGGTGTCTTTGACTCAACATTGCTTATAAAATTCATGTCGCGTAGGTGTTTTTTATTCATCTCATTGCTGTGTAATGTACCACTCCATCAATCCCACTTTGATCTAGTGTGGCAAGCACTTGTGTGTTATTTTCAGGTTTTGGCTATTATAAGCAATGCTGCAATGAGCATCTTTGTGCACATAAACATTTCTGTTGGGTATTAACCTAGAAGTTCAGTCGGTGGGTTACAAGGTATGCATATCTTTAACGTTGAATATTCCCACCATCCCGTGTCCAGCGCATATGAGAGTTCCAGTTCACTAACACTTGATATTACCAGACATTAATGTTAGCCAGTGCGATGTTTTGATAGTAGGCCTTCATTTTAGTTTTATTTCGCATTTCCCTAATTAGGAATGGCTTTGAGCATCTTCATTTACTGGTCATTGGATTTCTTCTTTTGAAAAGTGTCCATTCCAAACTTTTGTTCGTCTCTCTGTCGTGTTTGTGTCGGCTGTCCTTTTCCTCACTGATGTGTAGGATGTGTTCTTGATACTAATCATTATTTAGCTATAATCATTGTAAATCACCTCTTCCTCTCTGCATTACTTTTCATTCCTTCCTGGTGTTTTTGTTGGGCAGAAATTCTTAAAGGCAAACTTACCAATCTTTTATGTTTAATGTCTTAAAAGAATCTTTCCCTATCCTGAAGTCATGAAAGTATCTTTTTTTTTTTTTAAAGATTTTATTTACTTATTTGACAGAGACACAGCGAGAGAGGGAACACAAGCAGGGGGAGTGGGAGAGGGAGAAGCAGGGAGCCTGATGCAGGGCTCGATCCCAGGACCCTGGGATCATGACCTGAGCCGAAGGCAGACGCTTAACTGACTGCCTTAACCACCCAGGCGCCCCTGACAGACATGTTTTCATCTGAATTGCAGGTGAACAGAAGTTAACTATTTAAAATAAATTTTTAAGGAAGGAAGACTTCAAGTTAAAATTAGGTTTAAAGTAGGAAAATAGAGTGAATCTGTGGTCATGAACTCTTCCCTTCAATTTTCAAGTGATGATGTTAAGGGAAGTGCTGAAGTTTGGGGCTTAACCTGAAAGGTGGGAGATGTCGGAGGGTTAGTCTCATTCTATACAGTCACCTCTAAGATAATTTCACAGCACCTGTGTCCAGTCCACATCACATTCTCAGGTGTGTGAGTCAAGGTGGAAGGCAGATAGCTTGTGGGATTATCTTTCCTGTAACTGGGATGTTGCGGTGATTTGCACAAGGTCACTCAGAGGCAGCCGAGAAAAGAACCCAGCCCTCAAGACTTCTGGGCACCAGACTGCATGACCTTGTGCACAAACCCACAAATCAAAGTTGCATGTGGGCTTTAGAAAGTGCTAACGCTAGGTGAGAGCTCAGATTACTCTGGGGGCGTTCGTCATGCCTTTATGACTTATGCCACAAAAGGGCTTTTGTTTTGATAATTTTTGTGTTTGAAATGTTTTGTTTTTAATCATCTTAGAACCGTATGACCGCTTTGGTCACTGCTGGGATCTTCACTCTTCCCTCTTCACTCGACACTTGGCTGCGTAAAACTTTCTAGGAGAAGAGATTCGAGGCAAAGTGACCTCAGGTATCCTAGGCTTTATTCAGACGAGCGGATAAAATCTGGTAGTTCGGGACAGTTTGTAATGCTAAAAAGAAAGTAAAGTTGTCAGGAAAAAAAGGTTCTGTCTTTTGCCTCTGCTAAATAAATAAAAGGATTATATATCCTGCTTTAATGGAGAGCGTATAGTCATCTACAAAATATGGCAAATTGCATTATTGACTAGCTCCTTGACAGGGAGGAGAAACTGAAAGCTATTATTTTAATTTCTGGCTAAAGTGAGGGAGCTTTGATACTGGGCGGATGAGACAAACCTACCGCCGGGTAATACTGAACCAGAGCCAGACCACAAATCAGAAGCGATTCTGAAAGCGCAGCATAAAAGCCTGAACAATTAAATATGATCTATTACTTCCCAGATGATTTTAGAAAACTTGGAATAAAAAAAAAAAAAGGCGAAAAAGAGGGTAAGCCACTGGAATAGCATTAGATTATTAGATTTAGGATTTAAATGCCACTATTTCCTTTGAATCCGATGGGAAGTTATGCGCTCTCCTGACTATTAAGTCTGTAAGATGAGGTCAGCGACCCCTTATCTAACGTATGGAGTATGTTTTGAGAGAACAGAAATTTCAAAGTGTGGTCTTTAGAGAACACTTTGGGGCCTAAAAGAGATTCTATATGAAAACCTTATTGTAACGATGGTAACAATTATGATTGAAGTAGTTTGGGGAGGTACCTTTTGGCATATGAAGTAAAATGTTTTAAAATCACCACCATATGAAACTTTTAATTTAGTGTTAAAATTAACTTGAGAACAATAGAGACTCCCTAAAAAGGCTATTTTGACAAGGGGATATTAGGACACTGAGCTAAGGAAAGCCCGAGCTTTGGATGGAAAATTTTCTCATTATTAAGGCAAAAGAATGAGAGTTGTAAATCAAGCCCTTATTCAGAGCACACAGAATCGCTCCTCAGAAGACAGAGACCCAGATTGGTGCTTATAAATTCTGTCCCAAAATATTGCTAGTAAATACATCACTGCTCCTAACCGGTACCACGTATATTTGTATTAAATAGCTCTTCTAGGGATTGTGTGGTAAAAACGAAGGCGTATCTTCTATTGATTAGATTTTTAATAAGAAGGATTTTTTTCTCCCCTTCGGCTGTATTTAATAGGGTCAAAATGTAACACATGAGGAAACTCACTGACAATAGAAGGCTAATCTTATCTCAGCTTAGGATCTTTAGTTCTTAGGGAAGGAAGCAAGCTTAAATATAATTTGTTCCACATCCTATAAATAGGGAAACTGAGGCACAGAAAGGCACAGAGATGTGCCTAGGGTGTGCAGCTGGTTCTAATAGAGCCGAGTCTTTCTGCCCTAGCCCCGTGTTCTTTGCTTAAAGTGGAGTCTTCTTGTAATTAATTCCTTAACACATTTTTGCAAAGTGACAGAAAAAGCACAGTGCCAGACATTTATTTTCTACTTCTGAAACTATAGAAATGTTAGGTAGTCTTAGGTAGCCTTACCTACTGCAACTGGGTTCAGTCACTATAATTTTCTTGAAATAAAAATGGATAATGTATATTTTAAAAAGTGACA